AGGGCTGCACTCTGTCCCATGCCACCCAGAATCACAGAATCGATTTGGTTGGAAGAGACCTCCAGGATCATCGAGTCCAACCTTTGCCCTAACACCACCATGTCAGCTAGACCATGGCACTAAGTGCCACGTCCAGGCTTTTCCTAAACACCTCCAGTGATGGTGACTCCACCACCTCCCTGGGCAGCCCATTCCAATGCCCCCTAATTTCTAGCCTGAACTTCTCCTGGCACAGTTTCAGACTATGCCTTCTTCTCCTGTCACTTGTCCTGGATCCTTTGGCTCTGCTGCAGGCCTGAACCAGACTCTGGCCCCCAGCCCGCTTCCTGGCCACAGAGAAAGAGAATCCTCTAGATTAAAGGAAATCGCTCTCCTCCTTTTAAAGGGAAAAGGAAGCATAGAACTTCTTAGCACCAGCTTACAATAAAAATAAAGGGAAATTATAAATAACAGTCAAGCTTTCAGAAGGTGGCAGAGGGTTGGTTTGGGTTTTTTTGGGGTTTGTTTTGTTTAAAGCAGGAGTCCTATAAAATCAGGGAGTTAAAATGCAACATACACAACATTTCAAGCCTGTTAAGGCACCTGAAACAGTCTGGTGATCAACATCAAAACAGGTAAAGTCTTTCATATTCTAGCAGTTACTGTTTTCCACAAAATTAATCAAAATAAACTGCATCTGTATGAGAACATTTTATTAAAAATACATATCTTCTCTTTCACATAGAAAGAACCAACACTGTAATTAAACACAACAAGTTGGACAGGAATTACTTGAAAAAAAAATAGATTCCTGTAATCCCAGAGCACCCAACCTTTGACTGCATGAGCCACAAATTAAAATCTTCCTGTGTTCAAGACCCAGAGTGCCTGTCCTGTAGGCAGGAAAGTGCCCCGGCAGGAGGAGCTGGTCAGAGGCAGGGCGCTAACCGCTCCACAGCGGCTGCTCCCTGCAGAGGTACACGCAGGACCCAGGGAGGGCTGTCACTCCCCCGCCTCGCCGCTCCGCACGATGGCAACCTTAGCAAGAGAAATGCTGGAGTGGCACTCGGCTCAAGTGTCACAGGTTGACCACCTCTTTCTGTAGAGGAGAAATACAGCACAGCACTTCCAGTTAATTTCACTTAGGATCCAGCAGAAACTCACAGTAAAAGCACTATTGAAAGAAACCCAGCCATGCTTTGGTGATACAACACAATGCAACAGTCTTTTTGATTAAGATGACCTTAACTGAAACCTATGCTGGAATCCACTAACTTTTGGATCCCCACTTTTTGTAACTCAGATCCATCTCAGACTTTTGTAAAGACACAATTTTCAAAGCAACAGGTTATCAGCTTAGGCTGCAGCAAATACTGATTGGAAGTTTAGTGCATAAAAATCAAACTCAGAATACACAAGAGCTGTCAGAGACATCCGCTATTTAAAGTGTACAGAACAAAACACTGGCTGCATGTAGAAAACATCAGTTTGCCAGGCTGCCTTTCTTGCTCTGGAGATGCTGAAGATTCAGCGCCTTTTAAAGTCACTGAGAGATACAGTCATAATCCAAAATTATCAAAATGCTTTGTAAATTCAGGCTTAAAAAGCATACCAGGTGCTGACTGTAAACTAACATTTACTGGCCAACTCGTAACTTAAGCAAGGCACAAAGAAGAAAAAACACTGGAGTGATGGGGAAGCAAGCCAACATGAAATCACAACAGAGAGGTCCCTTTGCTTTGACCTGATAAAGTACCTAAGGATATGGGCAGCTGAAACAGCAACAGTATCTAAGGTTGGACAACCAGAGTAACTGTAAAGCAAGGTCCAATCTTGAAGGAAAAAAAAAAAAAAGTGGCTTGCATGTCATTATACATGTTCTAATCCCATACAAGTCATGATTTGATTAAAAGAAAAAGATACTTCATCTAATGTCATGCCTTGTAAACCTAAGAGGGTATTAAATTCATGTAACTTTAGAGGCCTATCTCCTTAAGCATTCTTTATCACCTACAGTGTTAATTCCTTAGACTGCAATTTAATCAAGCACTCTGTCTGAAAGGCCTGCCACTTTACTGACTATGCTGGGAATTTATAACAGAGATCAGCTTCCTCACTCAGTCCACTGAAGTCTGAAACACAATGATTCCTCCTGGGAATATACGGCTATTGCACAGATCGTGACAGAACAAGATTTGCCCAGCACAGCATTTGTTCCTATTTCTAATGCACAGAAAAGGAAAGGAACTGACTTTCAGGACCTCAGATGAGTTTGCACAACTGGAATTGAAGAACTCTACTTGATTTTTTTAGCAAAGCAAATTTGTTCTGAGATTAATGTAATACAAATATCCGCTAAATTCCAGAATGCCACCAATCAAAACAACTTCCTTGACTGGAACGACATCTTAAACACAAGATCTCAATTTTCCCAAATCTGAGCAAATCAAACACTTGCCTTAATTATAACACTCTTCAACTCACTGTCCTCAGACTTCCAAGTGATTTCAAAGCTGATACTGAAAAGCTTTGATCCTTAGGGCTGACCTGCTCTGCATGTTAGAAGGAAAAGAACAATTTAAAGACATCCCAGGTTGGGAATTTATAATCCCTCCTCATCCTTGAGGAGCTACAAGGTAAAGCTCACAAGATAATCAAAACCTCATATTAGAGAAAATAGGAATGGGAAATTTTCTCCAGTTGTGAGGTGGCAGCATAGGAAATAACTGGATTCTAAAACAGCTCAACTTGAAAGGTGTTGAAGAACAAGGCTGAAAAAGTTAATTTTTAAAGTAATTAAAGTTTTAAAAGTTAATTAATAAAGTCTTAATCAGTAATTAAATAAGCTACAGCATGAAAAGTCCAACAACCATAAAGATCAACTCTGAAAAATACATAAGTTCATTGTTGTGTTGTTTTTTTTAAAATGTATATACAAGTAACACAATCTAGATTTAAAAATCTCTCCCCAAGGTTATAATCCCCTTCCTAGAGAGATGTTGTTATAGCTTGTGTACAGTGTTGCTAAACAATCTTTCACAGCCTTCAGAATTCTTCATGGTTTTCCTAATCCATTTTGCGGTGAGTGACATTTTCTCTCCAGAACTGAATGATGCTTTAAAGCCTAATTGAAAATCCATCTTTAAGATGGCCTTCAAATAAAATATTCAAGCTTCTAAACAGACTTTTTAAATACAAGTGGTTTTTGTTTTATTCACAAAATAGATCTAGTGAATTTGCTAACTCATTAAAAAACAGACTAGAAATAAAATTCACAAAAAAGTTTCTAGCCTCCAGTAATTCACAAAATGCTATTACAGTACAGAAGAACATTATTAGTTAAATCAGTTTTATTTCTTGTGATAGCTACTTTGAAAATAAAGGGTAATCTGACACTAACTCTATTACAGAAGTTCATAAGCGGGTAGCTTTTTGTGTGTGCAGTGGAAAACAAAGAACAGCGCTACAGAACTGAACTAGTCTGCCAAATACCCTTTTCAGACATCACATCTTAAAATATGTATGTCTAGATGAACAAGAAACTCAGTGAAGCCCCTGCACCCAGTTCCACTGCCCACATTTGGATAATGCACGGATGCAGGGGTCCACCTATGTAGCTCTTACAACTGGATCAGAATCTAATAATAGCTAAAACAAAGGTTCAAACCTGCTTTGATGTCAGTAAGCAGAAGGATGAATGGATACTATTGTTAGTGTTCTGTTCCAGCATTAGCAGCAATTTTGTCTGTAGTGACATCAGAGTTAAAAAAAAAAAAGCTGGTCAAGAAGTAACACACAAGAACAGCAACGGACTTGCTGAACTCAGGTCTCCATTGCTCTGCACCTTGGGAAACCTGACCTTACAAATGATTATGCTCAGTGCAAGGCAACAGAGGGAATCAAACCCGCAATTTTCATGGTTTGAATGAGCACAAGAACTTGGCTTCCAAGACTGCCTTCTTAAGATGCATGTGTCACAACAGGAATGTCAATTTCCATGGCAGAGAGGCGAGAGCGTGCAGAATACGGCTGAGAGGCATAGCTGTGCATGCTAGGGGCATGAGAATAGAGGGGCTGCCAGAAAGGAGAAGGTAGGCTTTTACATGCGCAGTACCACAGAAACAGCAGAACGGAAGTGAAGAACAGACCGCCAGCACTGGCAATGGCAATAAATACAGATATGTCAAAGCTAAAGACAGGCTCATATTTTCTGTTCAGATAATTGTTATAAAAAATGACCCAGATTGACGGAGTGAGACAAATGGCACATGCAAGCAGGAACAAGAGGCCAGCAACGAGATGGCAGCCCGCACTGTTTACAAGGCATTTGGCCAATTTGATGTTTGGCACACTTGATACAAAGGCTGTGTTACACATGCCAATCAAGCAGAGAAACAGAGCTGAGACAGCAGTTAACATACTCAGTGGAAGGGCAAACTGAAGAACACGCAAATCCAGTTGATCGACAGCAGTGTACCACTGCGGGTCATAGATCACACAGTCTCTGCTCCCATCAAAGCGAGCACACTTAATCCAGAGTCCAGTATAAACAGTCACATTCCTCTCATTCTTGTTGAATGTGTACAGTCTCATTTGCCTCCAGTTTGGAAGCAGAACTGCTGCAAGGAGTCCAGCTACTGAGGCTGTTCCACTGAGGAAGGCCAGTACTGTTGCTGCATGAACATCCCGGCAGCCCATTCTTGCCCACAAAAGTTGTTTCCTGCAATTAAAAATATATTTTTAAAAAAAAAATCAGTAGGTGAAACTTTATGGACACAGAACTGACTACAGTTGACTTGTGCCAAGTTAATAAACTTGTATGGCAGCTGGTAGGCAGTAACTCTCTCGCACCTTCTTTGCCTTACACACTTGTGCAGAGGTAACACTACCAAGTTCATGGTTTAATTAAGTGTCAGATTATTTCACAGACTGTTATGATTCCTCAGCTGACAGACGGCTAAATTCACCACGTTCAAGACCAAAAAGGAGCACCTAAACACGTGATTCTACACAGCCTTTCATCCTGTGTCACTGCATGGACTTTTACAGAGTCCAGGTGGAGAAGGTGAATCACTGAGTGGGCGTGATTTAAGAAGTTCACCTCTCCTCAACTGGCAGCTCCCTCTCTTTAGGCCAGATGTAATATCAGAGTGCGTGTTCAGTCCTACCACACCGCCACGGGAGCAAAAGGGAATTGCTTAAAACCAACATCACTAGACTGGGCAAGAAATGTATACATAGGCAGTTACCCGTATTTTACATAGTTGTAAACCAAATTGTTGATGATAGCCTTCTCTGCTGAGGAATTTACTACAATTTTTTCAAAAGCAATTAACAGTTCTTCCACACTACTTGTGCCTTTCAAAACCAGCTATCCAAGCAAATGAAAAACTCTAGAAAGCAGCTGGCTTTTCAGCTTTCACATTTTCCTCTTCACAGCAAGTGTTAAAGAACATTGCTTCCTTTTCAATATAACCACTGTCTGCATACTGAGTATAGCCTCTTGCCTGCAGAGATCCTGGGAAACAGTCTCAATGATGGGTCTTTACAAAAAAAAAAAAACAACAAAAAAACACAACAAAAAAACTGACTCAATTTGAGTAATCCCTTCTCTGGCTGCTCAAGATACTCTAAAACAGCCTAATACTTAATAGGCACTGAGCATCCACCCCAGAGTGTACTTGAAGCAGGACACTAAAAATTATAGTACGTAAAAAGGAGCAGATACTTGGAAAGCTCTCACGGAGTGCCATTCAGTCATAAACTCCTACTGAAATGCCTTCCAAATCATTATACTGCATTGTGCTTATTTGTTTAAAGTCACAAAATAATTCTTCAGGTACTGGAAGTTTTACCTACTGCATATACAAATAACTATCCGTATCTCAAAGGTTACAGACATGGCTGCAACCAAGGAGGAAACTGGATCTGATCCTTTCCTGTCCTCCTACACCTGCAGAGATCAAATGCCCAGGGCACTTTTCAGATAAGGAATTTCCATGTATACGGGAAGCAGACTAGAAGCATTATCAAGCTATACAGCTAGCCAGCATTTTATTGATTTATAGACAAATAAATAAAGCCAAATTTGTCTCATAAGAAAGCATTAGGCATTTATTTGCTTTTTATGCCATCTAACCCTGAAGGATTGCAGTAATATGTGGGTACCATTTAAGTGCTGATCATACTCTTTTAAAGAAGCACCGCTGAAAAGAAATAATGACAACCACGTTTATGCTAAAAAATGCACCTTATTCATCAAAAAGACAGCATTATATTTTTGCTAAGAATAGCTGAGCGTAGGCAAGCTACTGTTCTCATGGCAGTGACCTTTTCAGATAGTGGATCATTAATAGGATACCCTCTGGGTAGGGGGACCCAAGACTTATTTCCATCATAATTGATTTAATATCTTGCTTAACCTCAGCTTCAGTAAGGTCAACACAACCAACTTGCAAGGATACAGAACTATAACAAATGAGCTTGAAGGGTAAATCTACTATACCATCATATTTTGTTCTCCTCAAGCTTGATACTTTTGCTCTTTCATAAAGAGCTTGCCTTTGCCTGGATAAAATTTTCGTGTAGTCAGGGCACACTCCAAGAGAGAGCTCTATGAGAACCAGCTGGAATAAGCGCAAGATCGACCATTTCAGAAACCCTCTGTTTCTGCAAGTTCATTTGCAACAGTAGATGATGAAAATCTCAGCAGATTTAATGCAGGGTGGGCAAGAAGTGATGTGATATTCACCCATAGTCTCTAACCCAAGAGGACAGAAGAAAAAAAAAAAAGGGGTATTTTCTTTCCTCGTACATTATCAAAGTATAGTTGTGGCAAGGACTACGCAGCAAAGACTTTGGACAGCATGGGGAAATTTTTATTTTTCTATTGCCTCTGCTCTACCAGTTACATGGACAGAAGACTTTAGACTCCAGCTCATCCTATTGTTGCCAGGCATGTTTAGACCCTGCATACCTTGTTTTTGTTGGCCATTCCTGGCAGATGCACCAAGGGTGGTTTTTTTGGTTGGGTTTTCTTGGTTTTGTTTTTCTGAGTTTGCCTGGTTGATTTGGGGTTGGTTTAGGGTTTGTTTTGGTTGGTGGTGGTACTTGGGTTTTTGAGGGTTTTTTGTTTGCTTTAAAAAAAAAAAAGAGAGAGAGAGAAAGACTCCTTAGTGCTTCATTTGGGTTAAGAAGGGAAAGACATAAAAAATAGCTCATTTTCCCACTGGAGGGTATCAAGGGAAAGTGAATTTATAGGCAAGTTATCCATGATCCTCCCATCAGAGGAAACTTGTCCCATCTTGCAAATACTGCTAGCTTTACAGCTGTAACTATAGCTTCAGTTACAGATCCCTGATTAAGACAGTAACAAAACAGATGTTGTCTTAATGAAGATTGATCCAGTGTACTTACCAGCAGTGTGTCCAAATCAAGAGAAACCTTAGCAACTTTTAGAAGTATGAAAAAAGGTGTTACTGGATCTACGAAACAGAACAAGGAGAAAGTCAACATCACATTTGTTTCATGCAATTCCAGCAATGTTTACATTGTAATTCAGAAAAAAGGAATCACAGATACGTTTACGTTAGGCTAACACCATCACCATTCTACAATTTCTTCTTATTTAAAAAAGAAAGTTCAAACTACTTTTTTTTCTTCCACAGGATTTTTCCCTGAGCATGTTCTCTTTCTATCTACTCATCTCTGTCTTCCTGTAATAGATAAGAAGGGTGCAAAAAACTCCCTTTCTTATAGGTGTTCCAAGACACAAAAATGTTCACGTCCTGAATTTTATGTTTCTAGCAAAAAAAATCCATATAAAGTCATATAAAATTATTATTTCAGATGTTAGGTTCCAGGCTGCACTTAAACAGCAGGGAGAAAGGGGTGCAATGATTTTTTCATGTCGGAGAACAAAACACAGACTCTAAACTGTTTATATACTTGTGGTTCTCTATTCCTTCCTGGATTCTACACAAGGGTTTGAAGGAAAAGGGAGAAAGGCAGGAAGTACTGGTGATGCCTTTTCAATGGCTGTCCAGCTTTTCCAGAGGAAGAGAAAGGATCCTCTTGTGGATTCTCTTTACAGCCACATCTGGGATCCACACCACTGAGCCCCAAGAGCAACTCTGCAGGTCACAATAGGAAAATCGCTTTTCTATGGGACAGCGTCAGACCTACAAGCATGTCATTATGTGACTGTAAGGGGTACAACCTAAAGGTGAGTTTGCTGTACTAACACGTACAAGGACATACAGTTTATTCTAAATAACCTATATAAAAACCCCAAATATTGTAACATTTGTATATGCATAGTCTCCTGAGGTGCAACACCAAAGAAATTCTTCTATCAAACCATCTAGGCAAGAGAGACCTTACAGCACACACTCATGCAACACAAAGTTTTCCAATAAATGAGAAAATGAATTTCCAAGTCTGGAGTCCTCCAACATGAATGTTACTGCATATAAGACACAGAAATGCAGGCACAATCAAATCAAGCATCCCATGAGATTTCCACTGCCAGGTTAATCAACCAACACTGCTATGAGTAAATGCAGCAATTTGGGCAAAATAACTATGCAGGGCTACAGATGTCAGCATCAACACATTCAATTGCATTTGGAGAAGTAGCAGCTCTCTTTTTTCTGTGTGTGTTTGGATCTCAAAAAAGAAAAGTATTACTGCATAGCTTGGAGCAGTTGTTTTTATTCACTAACATTTCTGAGCAATTTTCAAGCTTTCTGTGCATTTAGCAGCAACTAAAGCCAAGATAAACATACAGATCTCCCTCTGCAGGTTCACACCCCCAAATACCAGCCAGTGCTCAGTAACAACCATAATTAAGTAGAAAATTAGTACTGGCAAACAAACCTGTCATAAAGGGAGCTGTGCTCAGCCCAGGAGTCCCTTCCATTAAATGATGAAAACCTGTGGCTGCCAGCTGTTGTAATAAACAGATACAAAGTAGGTATGGAATATTCTACAATATCCAACTCAGACAGCCTTCCATTTCTGCAGGCATGGAGTTTCTTTTCTCCTCCTCTATCCATTTAGTCCATCTGATTTTATTCTCTGTGACTGGTGGTATTGAACAACTATGGACCTCAGCCACTTCTGAACTAGCTGTCCAAGGGAGGAAAGCACACTTTGTCCAGGATAGGTGAAACCCTGTCTTGCCTTAGGTTCTAGACTCAAGCTTCTGACATCCCAAGGATTTTACAGCTGTAATATGCAAGGCTTTTATATCTGATCCACAGAAGTTACCAGCCTTAATACCTGTTCAGGGACAGATTTACCATGGCTCCTATTCTAAAGATCCACATTGCTATAATAAGAGATGCTGGCCGAAGCTGGTTAAAAACTGGTAATCATTAACTGCCCACCAGCTAAAACAATGAAGCAAAGAAGAAAAAAAAAAGAGGCATTTACTAGAGACATAATTCAGTGATGACTAAAGCCAGCTCTGTTCCCTTGCATGGCTTTGAGAAGACCACGGCCTGGGAACTACCGCTGTTCTGTAAAAGCCCTGCACGAGACAGGTCACAGCGAGTACAATTTATATCTCTAATTATCCACAACAGTAGTGTCAGTTTAAAAAATTATCATGAGTTTTGGATAACTGACCACCAGAAACCAGAGACCAAGAGCTATCCTGCTTCAGGATAACTGGAAGTAACTGATACAGAATCAGT